CGCCTGCACGATCTCTGATACCTGTTCCTTCAGGATTAGAACTTTGCTCAAGTCCAGAAGCTCCAAATTCTCTTCGCTAATATTTTTGTTTATGGCGTTGATGTGTAGCATCATTTCATTTGCTTTCTCAATCGCCTCACGGGTAACGTTGAAGAGCTTTTCATTGACGCGGTACTGGTGGTTATTGTTTACTACGACGTCGTTCATGCTACGGAGGATGTAATCCCAATCTGCTGCATCTGGAGACCCGGCGATCCACTTCCATGCAGATTCAATCCAGTCAATGGAACGTCTTCTTCGTGACTTACTTATTTGCAGCTCGTCAAGTCGCAGCTTAGTTTGGTTTAGGTGGAATTGCAGCACAGTACGCACAGCTTCACTTCTGATATCGTGCTGTGTTGACTCGATCAATTTCTCCAATGCCATATTGAAGTAGTTAAGGTCGACCATATGGACCAAACTGAAGTGTCCGTTCAGAATCCAACCACGCCCATGCTCAATAGTGACCAGCGGGGAGTCGTAATTGTAAATATTAAGGCCGCAAACGCCAGATATTAAAAGTAAACTGTCTTACCATCATGATTGGGGAAAAAAGCAAAAATGAGAATCTCTTAAATTAGCATTAGCTTATTTCTCTCTTTTTATATTTTTTTCGAACTTTTCTATTTCTCTCTTTCTAACTTTTATATATTTTTTTATCTTCAGGGACGGAGGAAAAAAAACATTTTAATAAGTACAAGTAATTAAATTTATTAATTATTATTTATTTATTAATTATTATTTTTCCTTTTTTGTTAGCAATATTTTTCGAAATTACGCCACAATTAAATTTTTGTTTTCCGTTGTGCATCGGTATATTCTTATATGCTACTACCGTCCCCGATTCTCTAAACCACGTAAATGGAAAATCCACAGGAACCAAGAATGTTAATAGAAAAAACATTTTTGTTACAGATTTTGAGCAGTTTTGTATCTCTATTTCAAAAATGCCGTTACGAGTTACTTCCTTAGGGTCCTGTGGCTTTACGAAACCTGCGGTGGAGAAGTTGGTATCAAAAAAGAAATTTAGTGTTAATTTTTTTAATTTTTTTTTTTGGTCAGCAATATTTGCCTTTTTTTTAAGCGTTATTGTGTGTGATTGCTAAGTGATTGTAAGCGTTATTATGTCTTGGCTAAGTGATTTGTTATGGGCATCTTTTGCCTCTTTTTTAGTTAGCCGTTAATGCTTTGTGTTTCGTCTGTGCTATAATAGTTTTTATTATTTTGTCTTCCGACATTCGGAAAAATCTTTTTTTGTATTTTTTTTTTTGTATTTTGCCTTTCCCGTCGTGCGCTGGATTTAATTAGTTGTTTGCTCCTGTTTTTTTTATTTTTTATTTTATATATATATTTTTTTGTTTTACTTGGAAGTAGTTTTAATTTGTGTCTTATGGATCTTCCTACCAGTGTCTGTAACCAAGGTCACCCTGCTTTCTGCTTCGCCTTTATCTGTTTATCCCTAACGTAAACCTCATCTCCTGGCCTAAACTTCTTAGGTCTTTTCCGTTTCTTATTCAACCGGAGATTTCTTAGCTCCTGGTTCCTCTTGATTTGTTCCCTGATTTCATTGTGAACCCTGTTTTTGAAGTCGGTCAGTCCTTGGTAGTTAATTCTTTCAGTTCTATTGAAAAATATGTCACTGGGCTTCCTTTTCGTTACAGAATGTATTGTTGTGTTGTAACGATCGACTGCAATATACACCAATTCTTTAGGTCTAACGTTATTAATTTCTTTCTGAATGCATCGATAGATCTCAATAATGGTAGAGTGGAATTTTTCAACCTGACCGTTAGCTCACTTCTTTGAACTGGAGTCTGATATAGTTCAATCCCCAGACCTCTTATATAGTTACATACCAAAGGAGTCATGAATCCCCTCTCGTTATCGGTTACTATCATTTTAGGAGTTGTAAAGTAATGGACAAGTTTAGCTAGCTTGGCGCGAATAGTGATGGATGCTCGGTTTTTTATGTGGAAAAGTTTTGCAAATTTGGAAAATTTATCTATGCAGGATAAAAATTTTTCTCCTTGAATTTCGAAGATGTCCACATGCACAATCTCGCATGGGTATTTTGGCACCGGAGTGTCTTTTATCGGCGGTACTGGAGGATGCCTATCATATTTGTTTGCGAGGCAGGTTTCACAAATGGTGGTGAATTTTCTTATTCGGCTCGCCATTTTGGGAAAATAGTATTTTTCTAGGATTTGCTCTTTATTTTCCCTCGAGTTCCTATGAGCCCTCCTATGTTCGTCCTCTATTATCCTACAAATTCTATCTTCGTTGGCAACATCTTCGACCACCCTCTGCGTTATCCTGATTTTGTATAAAAGAAAATGTTCCAGATACACTTCTTGCAGAAGCTGTAAATGATTCTCTGGAATTTTTACTCCGTTTATAAGTGATGGGTTTAAACGTTCTTTTAAGGCCTCGGTTAAGTTGGTTTTTTCGATGATAGCTAAGCTGACATAGTGACGAGTGAAACCTGGATGTGGATTTTCCACGCAAATCATTGCATTCCCTTCCGTAAAAATAATTTGGTTTCGAAAAACGTTTAAAGGACTTTCTACATGTGGAATAAGGTCTGACGCATCCCGGTCCGCACTGTGAACTGTCCCCTCTTCGCTTCTAGCTTCTGCTGATAAATCGTCAGGCCCCAACGATGCTGTTAAATGGTTTGCCTGGCATGGAATTATCGAAAGAGCGTCTGCTACAACATTTGATTTACCAGGAGTGTAAATCAATTTGTGGTTATACTCTTCTATTCTCGTCTTCCACCTTTTCAACTTTGCGTTGTAGTTCCTATTTCCCAGCGCAAACGTGAGAGGCTGGTGATCAGTGAAAATTCTAATTTTTTTCGCCCCATATAGGTAAGATCTCAAATTATCTAGAGCCCAAACTATTGCCAACATTTCTTTCTCGTTTGTGGCGTAGTTTTCCTCCGTTCTAGTTAAGGATCTTGAAATGTAGGCGATGGGCCGATCTTTTCCTGGTTCTCCTTGAGACAGCACCCTACCAATGGCATAGTTTGAAGCGTCGGTGGTAAGGTTAAATGGTTTTTCGAAATCTGGGAAAGCAAGAATATCTGAGGAAACTAGTAGTTTTTTTAAATTATCGAAAGCTTGAAGGGCTTCACGGTTCAGATTAATGCGTATTCTTCTCGATTGGTTGGCCTTAACTTGCGTGTTTTCCCCCGCGTGAGATTGGTTAACGGTTTTGCAACTTTCGCGTAGTCTCGATTGAACTTTCGGTAATACGACGTCATTCCCAAAAAGCTTTTCAGTTCTTTTAATGTTTCTGGGGCCGAAAGGTTCTCTATAGCCTGGACCTTCGAAGGATCCGGTTTCATCCCATCAGACGTGATCACATAACCCAGAAATTCTACCTCTGTTCTCATAAATTTAGTTTTTTCCAGATTCACTCTCAAATTAGCGTCTGCGAGTCTTTCAAATACTATTTCTAAGTTTTTTAGATGCTCATCAGTATTTTTCTCAAAGACAATAATATCATCAATATACACATAGCATATCCTCCCAATATATTCTTTAAGGACGTCATCAATCATGCGTTGGAATATAGCCGGCGCATCTTTCAATCCAAAAGGTAGTCTCAGAAATTCGTATTTTCCATTCATAGTTGAAAACGCGGTTTTGGGTATATCTGAATCCTTCATCGCAATTTGATAAAAGCCTGAGGAAAGATCAATCGTCGTGAAATATTTAGCGTTCCATAGACTGGCCAGTGTTGCGTTAATATCTGAAATAGGATAAGCGTCTGACACGGTAACCGCATTCAAACGTTTGAAATCTACAACCATTCTATACTGCTTTTCACTGGACGGCTTAGGTTTTGTCGGAACTACCCAAATGGGAGAATTATACGGACTTTTAGATGGCCGTATGATGCCTTCCTCGAGCAATTCGGTTACCTGCTTCTCTACCTCTTCCCTCATGTTGGCGGGATATGGATAACTTTTTGTGTATATGGGCTCATCTGTAGTGGTTTTTATCTCAGCCCGAACTGAGGTTTTGATGTTTGTTTTTATATTCAGTGGCCCGAACAAGTGGGAGTACTTTTCTACAACAGACTTTAAAATAGGAACTACTGTCTTAGGAATTTCAGATGCTTCAGAAAAATTAATGCTTCCAACTGTTTTGTTTCCCAGTGGAATTTTAATGTTCGGCTCGATTGTGAGAATGTGGTTTTTCCTATCTATCACCGCACCGAGTGCCTTTAGCGTATCATCCCCTATAATGCCGTCAAAAGATTGAAGTCCTGGTAATGTGTAAAAAGTTGTCCCGGTGTCGTTCCCTACATTATGGAAAAATTTTCCACAAATTTTCCTGTTTATTACTATTGGTCCTGCCACTGTCTGCACTGAGAAAGGTGGATCGACTGGTATTGAACGAGCAGCTAGAGTAGGCTTTATGAAATTTTTATTTGCCCCCGTATCTATAAGGAAGTTTAAGGCAGTACTGCTGTTGGTCAGGCACGTCAGGTAAGGTATGCTTGAATATGAGGCACTACTCCTCATATGAAATAAGCTGGTGGCCCGGTCGTCAAAAAATTTACCTGCTGTGAATCGTCCTCTGTACGTTCACAGTAATTTGAAGAATCATGTCCTTCTTCAGGACTAATGGCTTCTATATTATACAATTTTTGTTGTTTTGGGAAGGCACCTTTTAAAAGCGTTTGTGCGTGAGGGTCGGTTCATATAGTTGACCTGCCTCGTTTGGACACTACCGTCAACTTCCATTTTCTCGACGGGTTTAGGGGCAGTTGGTATGGCTGGAGCTGATGAACTCGTTCCTTGGTTGACCTGGAGCCTGTTGTAAGGGATCCTCTTATATTCCGAATTGTGATTCCTGTTCACCCAGTTATAACTCGAGCGTGCGCGTGGCGGTAGCGGTGGCCTCTGTGTTGATAAAATATTCGTTGGGACATTGAGCCTGTGTGAACTATCGTATTCCGCAACGTTAAATTCTGAATGTCCAGGCAAGCTGAGTAAGCTTCTGGCAATGTTTTTGGTTTTTGTACGATGAGCATGCGGGACAACTCAGGACTCAAACCCCGGATGAATACATCTAGAGCTCTGTTTCGATATGTTTCCACAAGGACTGATACTGTCTCTTGTGAGTAATCGTCACACTTAATTTTGTTTACAATAAGCGACAATTGGTGGTTAACAGTTGCGTAGAATTCATCCAATTTCGAATTCCCTTGAGCTAACTGATTAAGTTGATGTTCGAGGGTTCGAATATCCCTCTTATCGGCGTAGTGAAGCGAAAGGACTCTTTTTATCTCTGTCCAGTCACTCTCAAAAACGTTATACGCAACCAAGGCTGCTCCGAATTTTTTGCCTTACATGCTGAAGGATTGCGCGATACAAA